ACATCTTGGCACTACAAGCAAACGGTGGATTGATTGACATGTGCTGTAGACGGAGGCCTGCAGCTGCCGTTGCCCACCCTTTCAAGATACATGATCCAGCCTAAGAACCATTGTAAAAAAAGAAAAGGAAATTCTCAATGTCATCACTGCAGCCATGCCAGCAGACATGAAACCTTGCTCTTTTTGCCAAATATCTTTTTATCTTGTCTTGAAAATGCAGCTTTTGGCCCTATATAGTAACTCATGCCTGTAATCCCAGCACTTTGGGAGGTTGAGGCAGGAGGATCATTTGAGTCCAGGAGGTGAAGGTTGCAATAAGCCAAGATCTTACCACTGCATTCTAGCTGGGAGTGAAGCCTTGTCTGAAAAAAGAAAGAAAGAAGGAAGAAGGAAGAAAAGAGAGAGAGAGAGAAAATGCAGCTTTTATGTGGGTGCAGGATATCTACAAGGAAAATAAATCTATAGACTCTAATATGATTTATGATTCAAGAAACACTGATGTCATTATATGACAACTTTTTTATTTTATTTTTTTAGAGACAGGGTCTCCCCACTCCCCACGTTGCCCAAGCTGTAGTGCAGTGGCTATTCACAGTCAATTATACCTTCATAAAGCTGGGGCAAAGAGAAGAAAATGAACCATAACAACAAAAAATAAAACTGAGAAACATTTAAGAGATTTATTAGTTTGTTTTAAAATAATAGAAGCAAGCCCATTACGTGATAACATAAGTCACATATTTTTGTGAGAGAGATTTTCCAAAGCAAAAAAAAAAAAAAAAAAAAAAAAAATGGGAAAGTAGCAGTGCTTCAGCTGTGTAAGCTGTCACATCTAACACAGCCGCATTGTCCCCCTGCAAGGCGCTCCCGCTTCCAGCCAAAAGAGGTCAATAAGGTCTCTGTACTGTCATGAAACACACTTGACTCGACCTCACCCAGCCGCTGACAGGGTCATGAAATTCCCAGGGGTCCCTGGATGGCACAATTGAGTGCCGCTAGTTTACTGGAGAAAAGTGTGGAGGAGTACAGGGGAGTTAGGAGCGGGTCCAGGGCAGGCCACACTGACCAGTGGTCTCGGGGGCCACCGTCAGAAGGAGCAGTGGCACCAGGTGGAGGCCAGGAGGGGGACATGGGAGCTGCCGCATTCCAGGCAGAGGGAACTGCAGGTGCTGAGGCCCCAGGCAAGTGCACTGAGGGTTGAAGGGCCACTGTGGTCAGAGCCGGAGGCAGCAGAAGGGAGGTCCTAGAGGAAGGTAGAGGCCAGAGCAGCAGAGAGGCCAGACAAGCTCTGTGGCCTAGAAGCAAAGGGCAGCCACGGAAGGAGATTGGGAGAGTGACAACAAATTGGTATGTTAAAACGCCACCCTCAAGAAGTGCCGTCAATCATTAGAGGCAAGTGTCAGTCAAAAGATCACATAAACAACATATTTATTATTATTATTTTTTTTTTGAGACAGAGTTTCGCTCTTGTTACCCAGACTGGAGTGCAATGGCGCGATCTTGGCTCACCGCAACCTCGGCCTCCTGGGTTCAGGCAATTCTCCTGCCTCAGCCTCCTGAGTAGCTGGGACTACAGGCACGCGCCACCATGCCCAGCTAATTTTTTGTATTTTTAGTAGAGACGGGGTTTCACCATGTTGACCAGGATGGTCTCGATCTCTTGACCTCGTGATCTGCCCGCCTCGGCCTCCCACAATGCTGGGATTACAGGCGTGAGCCACCGCGCCCGGCCACAACATATTTTTTAATAACTAAACAATAATTTGATAATTTTGCTATGACACCAAAAGCACAGGCAACAAAAGAAAAAATAAATTGAACATCAAAATTTAAAAACACCAAAGTACACTGTCAGAGTGAAAAGACAACCCAAAGAATGAGAGAAAATATTTGTGAATGCTTTATCTAATAAGGGTTTAATATCCAGAATATAAAAAGAACTTCTACAATTCAACAACAACAACAAAACCTGACTCAAAGGACTTGAATAGACATTTCTCCAAAGGAGGTCTATAGATGGCCACTAAGCACACAGGAGGATGCTCAGCATCGCTAGTCATCACTGACACGCAGATCACAACGAGATGTAACTTCACACTCACTAGGGTGCCTGTTTTTAAAAAAACCAACCAACCAACCAAAAAAACCAGAATAATGTAAGATGCGCAGCAGCTGTGGATACAGTATGGCAGTTCCTCACACAATTAACACAGAATGACATTTGACCCAGCAATTCCACTTTTAGGTATACACACAGAACTGAAAGCAGGGACTCACACAGGTATTTACACACCAGTGTCCACAGCAGCATTACTCCCAACAGCCCAAACGTCCATAGCAGATGTATGGATAAGCAACAAGTGGTAAAGACATTCACTGGGAAGACTATTCAGTCTTAAAAGGGAAGGAAGTTCTGACCCATGCTGCAACTGGATGCACCTTGAAGTCAATAGGCTAAGTGAAATAAACAAGGCACAAAAAGGCAAATATTGTATGATTCCATTTACAAAGTATCTAGAGTAGTGAAATTCAGACAGAAAGTAGAAGAGTTGGTGAAGGGGCCTCTGGAGGAAGGAAGGAATGAGGAGATGTTGTTTAATGGTTACAAAGTTTCAGTTTGGGATGATGGAAAGGCTCTGAAGATGGCCCAACAGCACTATGAAGGTAATTAATGCCGCTGAATCATACCATTAAAAATTGTTAAAATGAAGCTAGGAGCAGTGGCTCACACCTGTAATCCCAGCACTTTGGGAGGCCGAGGCCGGTGGATCAGGAGGTCAAGAAATCAAGACCATCCTGGCCAACATGGTGAAACCCCGTCTCTACTAAAAAGTACAAAAATTAGCCGGGCATGGTGGTGTGTGCCTGTAGTCCCAGCCACACGGGAGACTGAGGCAGGAGACTTGCTTGAAACCGGAAAATGGAAGTTGCAGTGAGCCAGGATCCCACTCCAGCCTGGCGATAGAACGAGACTCTGTCTCAAAAAAAAAAAAAAGAATAAAAAAGAAAAAGTGTCTAATATTCTTGGATGTCTTCTATCAATTTGAAGAAACTTCTACATATAATCTTTTCAAATATTTCTTTTTCCCTTTTCTTAATATCTGCTCCTTCTGTTACTCTAATTGCATATATGTGAGAGTATTTAGTATTGTTAAACAATTGCTGGAGGCCTTTAAATTTCTCCTTGTGTTTTGGATTGGATACTTTCTATTGATCTCTATGGACTCATTCATTCTTTCTTCTTTGTTCAATCTGCCCAACAAATAATTCTTTATTTACACTATTGGATTTTTCATTTCTAGAATTTCCATTTGGTTCTTTGTAGGATGATTCTTTTCTAAAGTTTCACATTTTTTACCCATTTGGACAAATTTTCACTCAACTATATAGAAGATTATCAATTTCAATATTTACACTAACTGGCTATACTTGTATTGACTTTTTTCTCTTAATTTTTGGAAAATGTTTTATAGCTTTTTACCTGTCTTGTAATTTTTATTGTAAGTTGGCTATTACTTATAAAAAAACAATATAAGTGACATCTAGATATCTTTTATCTGACCATCCATATCAAATGTTCTCATTCAAACATTACCCAGCATCATTGTTTATCATCAGAAACTCTGATTATGTCTAGTGGCACTTTGAGTTCTTTATACCATGGTATTGCAGCCAATATCAAGAGAAGATTTTACGGGAAATTGGGATAGTCTCTATTTCCACAAACAAGTAAATAAAAAATAGGTTACCTACCTTGAGTATTTTTAAAAGGTTAGTAATTCTTAGCAAACATTTTTTTTCAGGGACTTTCTGGTAATATGACTATTACTTGACCTTTCTTGAAAGTCAGTACCCAAATGTTTTATTTTAAATAGATTCTCATTAACCAACATGAACTTTTAGATAACTTTAGCGTTAGCATACGCAAAACATGTCATTGGAATTTTGATAGGGATTACGTTGAATCACTTTTGGCAGTATGAATATTTTAACAAACTTAATTCTTCCAATCCATGCACATGGGATATCTTTCTATTTATTTGTGCCTTCTTCAAATTCTTACACCAATGTTTTATTGTCCTCCAAGTACAGAACTTTCATCTCCTTGGTTAAATTTATTCCTAAGTATATTTATAATGTAGTAAATGAGATTGTTTTCTTGGTTCCTTTGCTGGATAGTTCATTGTTAATGTATAGAAATGTTACTAATTTCTTTAGCATTTATCCATTTCTTCTAGGTTATTCTGCAACTTTACTGAATTCATTTATTAGTTCTAATAGCTTTTATAAAGTGGTTGAAGTTTTCTATGTACAAGATTATGTCATCTGCAAGGAAAGGCAATTTAACTTCTTCCTTTTCAATTTGGATGCCTTTTATTTTGTTATCATGCATAAGCGCCTTGGTTAGTACTTCCAGAACTGTATTGAATAGAAGTAGTAAGAGTGGACACCCTTTTCCTGTTTCTGATCTTAGAAGCTTTCAACTTTTCACCAGTGTTCAATGTTAGCTGTGTGTTTGTTATATATGGTCTTTATTGTATTGAGGTTCATTCCTTCTATAACTAATTTGTGAAAGTTTTTATCATGAAAGAAAGTTGTAAAAAAAAAAAGTTTTGTCCGGCTGGGCACGGTGGCTCAAGCCTGTAATCCCAGCACTTTGGGAGGCCGAGGCGGGTGGATCACAAGGTCAAGGGATCGAGACCATCCTGGTCACATGGTGAAACCCCGTCTCTACTAAAAATACAAAAATTAGCTGGGCATGGTGGCACGTGCCTGTAATCCCAGCTACTCCGGAGGCTGAGGCAGGAGAACTGATTGAACCCAGGAGACGGAGGTTGCGGTGAGCCGAGATCGCGCCATTGC